CTTCACACAATCCAATCCCACCCTCTTCATCCCAGATACTTAGGATCGGCCCGTTTGGAACGAATTCTTTCTCTCAGGGCGACGACTGAAAGATATAAAAAATCTTTTGTTCCCCGATCTGTACGAATTTACCAGTGTGCTCCCCACTGAGGTCACAAATCTTAATAAGAACTAGTAAATCCCCGATATGGCTAAGATAATTCACCAAATAGCTGTTTCTTTTCACCAGTGAAATAATTTAAAGTAGAGGTTTCGTGTTCAAATTGTTTTATTTATTTGCTACAAATATGCAATGCCACCAAAAAAAAATTCCATTTGATTTGATCAATAAAAGAATCTTATCTTATCTTATAATTATTGAAAGGACTGCATATATTATAGATTGAGAAGCTAACTCTTTTTTTTTTAACACTTGGACTCACCTGATATTTTCTCAAAATACCCGGACCCGATGTTAAAAAAAACCCCAACTGCGCCCGTTTAGGACCAAGTGCCTTGTGTATATATAAATTGCCTGTTAATTGAAGGAAGTATAAAGCGGATTGCATCGTAGTTTCACTCTATGTAAGGACTAAATACCTGTACTTGAGTTCACCCTACAGTATTTTGAAGGTCAAGGCCCTGTGTATAAACAGAAGGGTGACAACTAGGGTTGAGCTGATTGCAGTTGTTGTTTTTTAATCCAGGTCCGTGTATTTTCAAAACAATACCCGGTGGTTCCTAGTCCCGATCCGGGTATTACAATTGAGGAATTCTCTGTGAGAAATGTGTGCCATGAACCAAAGGGGAAAAGAGTGAAAATTCCATGTACAGAACTAGTAGCCATGTGTAAAAACTAGTAAGCTTGTATAGGGCTTCACGCTTCTACAGGGCCTCAAGCTTCTAGAGGACCTCAAGCTTCTAGAGGGCCTCCAGCTTCTAGAGGGCCTCCAGCTTCTAGAGGGCCTCCAGCTTCTAGAGGGCCTCCAGCTTCTAGAGGGCCTCAAGCTTCTAGAGGGCCTCGAGCTTCTAGAGGGCCTCGAGCTTCTAGATGGCCTCAAGCTTCTAGAGGGCCTCAAGATTCTAGAGGGCCTCAAGCTTCTAGAGGGCCTCATGCTTCTAGAGGGCCTCAAGCTTCTAGAGGGCCTCAAGCTTCTTGGGGAATCAAATTGCCCAAAGTTTTATGCATAATGAAAGATCGATAGGCCATTTAACACGTGCAGTGGCAAATCTATTGCCGAAGTCTTTTAAGCGAGTTTTGTGTATTTCCATAATTCCAGTTTTTTTGGTGGCTGGGGCTTGGAGGGGGTGTGGGGGGCGGGATAATTAATTTAAAGCAAATTCTTTACTGTAAATACATTATATTTTCATTACATAACCTGGCCATTTCTAGACAGTTTTTCTTTAAAAATAGGCAGTTTTAAATAGCCATTAAATCTATACAAAAATTAATTGGCTCTCTTTTATTGTAAGTTTGAAAATATATTCATGTTAAATAAAGGCTAATGGGTAATTATAGTAGTATGCAAATAGGGTTGTTGATCAAATGAGACAAGGTTGTTGGTCAAATGAGATCAGGTTGTTGGTCAAATGAGACAAGGTTGTTGGTCAAATGAGACAGGGTTGTTGGTCACATGAGACAGGGTTGTTGGGTCAAATGAGACAAGGTTGTTGGTCAAATGAGACAAGGTTTTGGTCAAATGAGACAGGGTTGTTGGTCAAATGAGACAGGGTTGTTGGACAAAGGAGCACGGTAGCTGGTCAAAGGAAACAGGGTGTTTGGTCAAAGGAAACAGGGTTGTTGGTCAAATGAGACAGAGCTGTTGGTCAAATGAGACAGGGTGGTTGGTTAAATGAGACAGGGTGGTTGGTCAAATGAGACAGCGTGGTTGGTCAAATGAGACAGGGTTGTTGGTCAAATGAGACAGGGTTGTTGGTCAAATGAGACAGGGTTGTTGGTCAAATGAGACAGGGTTGTTGGTAAAATGAGACAGGGTTGTTGGATAAATGAGACAGGGTTGTTGGTCAAATGAGACAGGGTTGTTGGTCAAATGAGACAGGGTTGTTGTCAAATGAGACAGGGTTGTTAGTTGTTGGTCAAATAAGACAGGGTTGTTGGTAAAATGAGACAGGGTTGATGGTCAAATGAGACAGGGTTGTTGGTCAAATGAGACAGGGTTGTTGGTCAAATGAGACAGGGTTGTTGGACAAAGGAACACGGTAGCTGGTCAAAGGAAACAGGGTGTTAGGTCAAAGGAAACAGGGTTGTTGGTCAAATGAGACAGGGCTGTTGGTCAAATGAGACAGGGTTGTTGGTCAAATAAGACAGGGTTGTTGGTCAGATGAGACAGGGCTGTTGGTCAAATGAGACAGGGTTGTTGGTCAAATGAGATAGGATGGTTGGTCAAATGAGACAGGGTTGTTGGTCAAATGAGACAGGGTTGTTGGTCAAATGAGACAGGGTTGTTGGTCAAATGAGACAGGGTTGTTGGTCAAATAAGACAGGGTTGTTGGTAAAATTAGACAGGGTTGTTGGTCAAATGAGACAGGGTTGTTGGTCAAATGAGACAGGAGTGTTGGTCAAATGAGACAGGGTTGTTGGTCAAATGAGACAGGGTTGTTGGACAAAGGAACACGGTAGCTGGTCAAAGGAAACAGGGTGTTAGGTCAAAGGAAACAGGGTAGCTGGCCAAATGAAAGAGGTTAATATTGCAAAGGGCGCAATTGGCTCGTAGTAACGTTAGAGCGGCCAAAAATAACAGAGCGATGAGGCCATTTCAGCTTCAGTGACTCGTAGTCGCATGTTTTAAAGTGAGATATTATGCAAGCCTTTTATAATACTAGTCATTTATAATGCAAGTCATTGTTTTTAAAAAATCCGGTTTGCCTGAGAGTTTGAGTGTCTGAGCGTGTTTGTAAGTGTCCGATGTCCTTGTGAAGAGTTTAAGAGATGTTCGAGATCGGTGTTTCCGTGTAACGGATGTCCTTTAAAGTGAACGTTACACCAACCTGTCACAGCTCGCTGTCAATTCGTGATTATTTCTCCTCCATTGTGACGCGGTACGCTGAGTTGATTAGTGAAAAAAATCAACAAAACATTTCCTCCAAATTTCACCAGCCAGCTCGCAAATTGTGTTCAGCATAAGCTATACGTCGTAGTTCTAAAAGTAGCAAGGGTTTCTTAAAAGCCTTTGAAATTTTTATCCCAATCTTGTATGGGGTCGATTCTTTTATTTTGACCCAGGCAGCACAAGATACGCCTCAGAATAAATGAGAACATTTGATCAATAATTAACCCTCTTAGGTTCATACTTATCTGGAGTAGGAAATAAGGTGTGTGTACATTTTGATGTCGATGACAATATCTTTAAATCCTATGATATTACAGTTGTGAAAAATAGATGTTACATTCCCTTTTTACAAATAAACAAATGTTTATCAAATAAGAAAATCAATGGTGTTCACGAAAAATGGGTAAATTGACATAAGTGACATATGCATATCAAAACACAATCATTTAAATGCGTGAAAATTTTATTTTGAAAAATTATAAATGGGTTAAGATTTTCTTTGTGTGAAACATTTTTTGTTTTGTTTTTGACTTTTTGAAAGGTCAAGTGGGTCTATATTTTTATAAGATTAATCAAATTTCTGTAAAAGAGACACTCATTGCTGTTACAGGACATAAAGAGATCCTTCTTCAGATCAAAAGAAAATTATTTGTTTTACGATTTTACGATAACATAGTAGAAAAAAAAGGAAAAATTTGGTTGAATTATTAATGAAGTATCAGTGTATCAAATTCCGTTTATATAAAATATTTATGAAATGGTATATACATTTTTTTTTTTTAAATTTAAGATTAAGTTTTTAAAATTTTAGGGAAACGAAATTTAGCTTAGGGGCAGGAAATGTGGCAGGGTAGCCTGACATTTAGCAATTTTAAAACACATGACATTTAAATTATTTCTCTAGCGTAGAAATCACCCGTCACTCAACTACTTTAGTAACAATAATGATTTAATTCGTGATCATTTAGATTCGGTAATTTAAGGTCATGCTAACAGAAAAAATGTAGTTTGGGGGCGCAAAAAGGGGGGTGGGGTAGGGTTTGGTGAATAATAAATAGCAGAAAAATACCTCTTAAATCTTTTAATGATATTTAAAACGTAAAAATCATATAATAGCAACATTTTTTTTTTTAAAATCAGAATTGTGATGAGTTTTGACAATATCAGGTGGAAATGATCGCAAAGTGCCTGCCATTATTATCTCGATAATATCAGGTATTATTTTCTAGTAGTTAATATTGGTTAATTTTGATTATTTTATGGAAGTCGAATCCATTCACATCAAATAAGATAAACTAAATCTGGGTGTTGGTATAGGTAATATTTAATGTTTATTATGTAAGTTTTATTATTTTATCATTTAGAAATACATTTAATACAATAATTTAGATCATCGGTTCTTGATCTGTGGGTCGCGACCTACTCGAGGGTCACCTGACAATACGTCTGTGAAATGAGAATTTTAGGAAAAAGGGAAATTTATCTTATTTGCAGTAACTAAATTTTAAAAATTTAACTACTACTTATAGTAATTAGGCTAATTTCTTACTTATTAGTTAGGCATTTGTTGCTAAGATAAGCAGATCATCTCACTTATAATTATAATTTACCAATGTTAAAAATTTCGTATATTTGAAAATTCCCCACACATTTTACTTAAATTAATTAAAAACAAATTCTGTGATATTGATTATGTATACCGGCTTCCGTAGTACCATCGGGCACCATCAGGGGTACAGGGACCAGAGGTTCAGAACCTGTGATTTCGATACCAACTGGTCGATCACCGTAAACATCCAGCCATTCAATGGCTTCTAAGCGAATTTAAAAATTTGCAAATGTCACCAATTTTATCTTAACACGATAATGGCAACACTCGTAATTGAATTAGGTGAGGTAGAGACGAGGTTGCTACTTGATAAAGATGCTTATATCTCCAGTTGGCGTAACGTTACAGCGCTAACATGTGGTACGCGGCGCAACGTTACAGAGCTAACATGTGATACACGGTGCAACGTTGCAGAGCTAACATGTGATACACGACTGAGTTCGAAGTGGGCCTTAAATAAGTCAGACTGCCACTTGATTGACCAATTGACCAATGTGACGTGACCTCAGTGAGAACGCTCTGACATCAGTGAGAACGCTTGGACGTCTATAATTGTTTAAAAATAAATAACTGACTTCTCTTTTTTGTTTAGCAATGTTTCTCCGGCAGTCAGCTCAGCTCTCGTGTGTCTCATTGGTCCTTCTGGCAGTGAGCTGGGCGATCGCTGGTGAGTACAACTCTAAACGTACGTTTAATATATTAAGTTAAATACAAGGACAGGTTTGGCCAGCAAAGGAACTCTTTTTCGATTGTGTCGTATAATTTATCACATTTTTAACTTTGTAACCAGGAGTAACGCAGTTATTTATAGTTTAATGCCATAGGTCAAAGGTTGTCTAGAGCTAAACTTGCCATATGAGGATCTACAAACATTTTCGTTATAAAATCAATTTTGACTGTAAAATGGTTGTTTTTTTCTAAAGAGAGCACAATTCCAAAATTGAATGGGTATTATTTTGGGGGGTTCTTTTCTTCAAATAGCTATTATTTTAATGGCATTTGTTATTGTAAGTTTCCCTAATCTTGAAAAGTCCAGAATACACCTCAAATTGGCAAACATTAAAGAGGGTGGTTTTCTTAGTGATACAGGTCTCTGCTTATTTTGGATCTTATTGTTGTTGTGTGTTGTTTTTTTTTTGGTTAGCGGAGCAAGAGATAATCTACTCAGACAGCGGCGTCTGCTCTAAGGCTGTGTCATGGGGGCACCCAAGGGTCAAACGTCAAACCATACAGCGACAAAGTGGGTTCACAAACGACGAGAAAATGGCCATCCTTCAGAGACACAACGACTTGAGAGCCAAGGAAGGCAGCAGCAACATGAGAAGAATGGTGAGTGAAGTGAATGGTGGGTCAAGTGAAGGGTGAGTGAATGGTGAGTGAAGTACGTGTGGTGGGTGAAGTGAATGGTGAGTAAAGGGAATAGTGAGTGGAGTAAATGGTGGATGAAGTGAATGGTGAGTAAATGGTGTGTAAACGGTAAGTGAAGTGAATGGTGGTTGAAGTGAATAAGGAGTGATGTTAATTGCGAGTGAATGGTGAGAGAATGGTCAGTGAAGTGGATGGCGAGTTACGTGAGTTTTGAGGAAAATAGTGAGTGAAATGAATGCTGAGTGAGGTGAATTGTGAGTGAAGTGAATGTTTACGCTAAAATAGGAAGGTGAAGGGGAGTTGGGTTAACGAGTTGATAACCCTGGGTGGCACATGCTAACCTTGGGTGTCAGATGTTAACCTTGGGTGGCAGGTGTTAACATGAGTTGTGGAACTTGAGGCTAAGAAACCGAGGAATGATTTTTGGGATCAATGTAGTACATCTGATTATAATGTAGTACATCTGATTATAATATAGTACATCTGATTATAATGCAGTACATCTGATTATAATGTAGTACATCTGATTATAATGCAGTACATCTGATTATGATATAGTGCATCTTATTATTATGTAGATCATCTGATTATTGTGTAGTAAAACTTCTTGTAATGTACTACATCTGCGTGTAAGGTACTACATCTGCCTGTAATGTACTACATCTGCTTGTACAGTGTCTCATCTGCTTATAATTTACTACATATACATGTAATGTACTACAACTGCTTGCAAAGTACTACATCAGCGTGTAAGGTACTATGTTTGGACTAAAAGTCAATTAGTCGTTGGGATGTTTATCAGATGATCGTGAGTATTTACCAGGTTGTCATTGGAGGGGTCTACATTGATCAGGTTGTCATTGAAGGGGTCTACATTGATCAGGTTGTCATTGGAGGGGCCTACATTGATCAGGTTGTCATTGAAGGGGTCTACATTGATCAGGTTGTCATTGGAGGGGTCTACATTGATCAGGTTGTCATTGGAGGGGTCTACATTGATCAGGTTGTCATTGGAGGGGTCTAAATTTACCAGGTTGTAAGCAGTATGGTTTTAATTTACCAGGTTGTCAGCAGTATGGTTTTAATTTACCGTGTTGTCAGCATTATGGTCTAAATTAACCATGTTGTCAGCAGTATGGTCTAAATTTACCTGGTTGTCAGCAGTATGGTCTAAATTTACCTGGTTGTCAGCAGTATGGTCTAAATTTACCTGGTTGTCAGCAGTATGGTCTAAATTTACCTGGTTGTCAGCAGTATGGTCTAAATTTACCTGGTTGTCAGCAGTATGGTCTAAATTTACCTGGTTGTCAGCAGTATGGTCTAAATTTACCTGGTTGTCAGCAGTATGGTCTAAATTTACCTGGTTGTCAGCAGTATGGTCTAAATTTACCTGGTTGTCAGCAGTATGGTCTAAATTTACCTGGTTGTCAGCAGTATGGTCTAAATTTACCTGGTTGTCAGCAGTATGGTATAAATTTACCTGGTTGTCAGCAGTATGGTCTAAATTTACCTGGTTGTCAGCAGTATGGTCTAAATTTACCTGGTTGTCAGCAGTATGGTCTAAATTTACCTGGTTGTCAGCAGTATGGTCTAAATTTACCTGGTTGTCAACAGTATGGTCTAAATTTACCTGGTTGTCAGCAGTATGGTATAAATTTACCTGGTTGTCAGCAGTATGGTCTAAATTTACCTGGTTGTCAGCAGTATGGTCTAAATGTACCTGGTTGTCAGCAGTATGGTCTAAATTTATCAAGTTGTCAACAATAGGGGCTTAATTTTCCTGGTTGTCAGCAGCATGGTCTAAATTTATCAAGTTGTCAGCAGTAGGGGCTTAATTTACCTGGTTGTCAGCAGCATGGTCTAAATTTATCAAGTTGTCAGCAGTAGGGGCTTAATTTACCAATGGAGAATTTATTTCGGTATCTGTTTGTAGGTCTGACAGTGTGTGTGTGTTCGTTCGCCTGTGTGTGTGTGTTCGTTCGCCTGTGTGTGTGTGTGTGTGTTCGTTCGTCTGTGTGTGTGTGTGTATTCGTTCGCCTGTGTGTGTGTGTTTAAGGGACCGACGTCAATGAAGAATCTTTGACACAATGTGTTTGCATGGTTCCTCTGTCACAATGTGTTTGCATGGTTCTTCTGTCAAAATGTGTTTGCATGGTTCCTCTGACACAATGTGTTTGCATGGTTCCTCTGTCACAATGTGTTTGCATGGTTCCTCTGTCACAATGTGTTTGCATGGTTCCTCTGTCACAATGTGTTTGCATGGTTCCTCTGACACAATGTGTTTGCATGGCTCCTCTGACACAATGTGTTTACATGGTTCCCCTGACACAATGTGTTTGCATGGTTCCTCTGACACAATGTGTTTGCATGGTTCCCCTGACACAATGTGTTTGCATGGTTCCTCTGACACACTGTGTTTGCATGGTTCCCCTGACACAATGTGTTTGCATGGTTCCCCTGACACAATGTGTTTGCATGGTTCCTCTGACACAATGTGTTTGCATGGTTCCCCTGACACAATGTGTTTGCATGGTTCCTCTGACACAATGTGTTTGCATGGTTCCTCTGACACAATACGCTTGCATGGTTCCTCTGACACAATGCGTTTGCATGGTTCCTCTGACACAATGTGTTTGCATTGTTCCTCTGACACAATGTGTTTGCATGGTTTCTCTGACACAATGCGTTTGCATGGTTCCTCTGACACAATGTGTTTGCATGGTTCCTCTGACACAATGCGTTTACATGGTTCCTCTGACACAATGTGTTTGCATGGTTCCTCTGATACAATGTGTTTGCATGGTTCCTCTGACACAATGTGTTTGCATGGTTCCTCTGACACAATGTGTTTGCATGGTTCCTCTGACACAACTTTGGTGAAAGTGTTGTCTCTATCTTGTTGATTTTCAGCACTGGGATTCTGCGCTAGAAGTCCTCGCCCAATCTTACTCGGAGAAATGTGATTTCAAACACAGTCCCCTGAGCTATCGGACAAATGTGTTAGACTTCAAGTACATAGGAGAGAACATTTACGCTGGGACAGGTGAGATCTTGTCACATATTAGTGCTGTACCGACGTGTCAAACCACACACTATGGCGCCATGTTTGTGTTGTAATGTAGACATCTTCACTGCTTGCTGTACGACTGTTTTGTTCTGTTGCACGCCATGGTGTGCTGTTGTACACTGTGTTCTGTCACTAGAGCTACATCAGCCAATGTACGTAAGTAAATTAACCATAGCTACTGCCGACTTCAACTCCTGATTTGTGACGTAATACACTGTCAAAAATTCTCGTTATGCGCACATCATATTTTCTCATTTTATCTTCCACCATTACAGCGACCTTTGACCCCTTGACCCCAGTACAGCTTTGGTGGGACGAATACACATTTTATGATTTCAACACTCGTCGATGCACCGGTGTTTGTGGTCACTATACGCAGGTGGGTTTGTTGCAAGGGGTTGGTGGCATACAACATCTGTGGTCATTATACGCAGGTGGGTTTGTTGCAAGGTGTTGGTGGCATTCAACTTCTGTGGTCATTATACACAGTTGGGTATCTTGCTAGGGGTTATGGCATACAACATATGTGGTCATTATACGCAGGTGGGTTTCTTGCTATGTATTGGTGGCATACAACATCTGTGGTCACTATACGCAGGTGGGTTTCTTGCTATGGTTTGGTGGCATACAACATCTGTGGTCATTATACGCAGGTGGGTTTCTTGCTAGGGATTGGTGGCATACAACATCTGTGGTCACTATACGCAGGTGGGTTTCTTGCTAGGGGTTGGTGGCATACAATATCTGTGGTCACTATACGCAGGTGGGTTTCTTGCTAGGGGTTGAAGGCATACAACATTTGTGGTCATTATACACAGGTGGCTTTGTTGCCAGGGGTTAGGATTAAAAGAAAAATTGTTCTCTGAATTAAATTAACTCATCTGCCTCAACCGTATTACCCAAGGTCAAATCTGCATCCAAAAGCCCATCATGCACTGGGGCATGTTATATGATTGTAACACTGAGATTATTGTTAGGTTGTGGTAAGTAGAACTTAAAAAAAACAACATTGTGTGGCATTTGTTTTAATTATAGCCACTTTAAATAACGTTCCCATTATTTGACGTTGTAGTAGTTAGAGCAGTTTCAAATAACTCTCCCATGATTTGACGTAGTTGGAGCAGTTTAAAAATAACAACTCTCCCATTATTTGGCGTTGTAGTAGTTGGACGAGTTTCAAATAGCTCTCCTTTTATTTGACGGTGTGGTAGTTGGAGCAGTTAAAAAAAACAAACAAAAAAACTAACTCTCCCATTATTTGACGTGATAGTTGGAGCAGTTAAAAATAACCCTCCCATTATTTGACATTGTGGTAGTAGGGGCAGTTCCAAAAAGCTCCTCAATATTGCACTGAGATTAATTTGAGGACCCTTGTGCTCTAGGTTGTATGGGACAAGAGTTTTGCCTTGGGATGTGGCTTTCACTACTGCAAGAATCTAACAGGTGCCCCAAACTTTAATAGGGGATATAACGTCGTGTGTCACTACGGCCCTGGGTGAGTACCTGTCCCAATGTGTGTAGTGGTGAGTTTGTCGTGTGTCGCTGTGGCCCCGAGTGATTACATTTCCCAATGTGTGTAGTGGTGAGTTTTTCTTGTCTCACTATGGTCCTGGGTGAGTACATGTCCCAATGTGTGTAGTGGTGAGTTTGTCGTGTGTCACTATGGTCCTGGGTGAGTACATGTCCCAATGTGTGTAGTGGTGAGTTTGTCGTGTGTCACTATGGCCCTGGGTGAGTACATGTCCCAATGTGTGTAGTGGTGAGTTTGTCGTGTGTCACTATGGCCCTGGGTGAGTACATGTCTTAATGTGTGTAGTGGTGAGTTTGTCGTTCTTCACTATGGTCCGTTGGCTAACTCTTTATCGCCTTGAGTACATATTTGTTTGGTGTGGACATTATGTCATTGATATGACTGCACTGAGCATTATGTTGTGTTTATGGTAGATATCAATGTCCTGTGATGATAGTCTGTTTGATTTGACCATTAGTACTAAAAATAAAATGATGTCTGAAGGAAGACAATTAGGTTGAACACAACTGTGAGACAAGTCCACATCACAGCTGTCTTAGTGTGTGTAACAGATTGTTTGTTACCGTATTATTGTTGTGTTTCTTATCTCACACGTACTTCAAATTACATCAGCTAGAATTTGTGCACAGCCCAGGGCTGCCACTCACTTTTTTTTTTAATTTCCCAAGATTTGGTGAACAAATTTCCCAAGATTTCCCAAGATCATAAAATATATGAGTTTTTTTGTTTTTTTTTATAAAGGGGGGTTTTCTATGTAATTAATGTAATAATAGATTGAATCATTGCCCCTAAAAAACATGATGCATTAATTGACTGAAATTTATTGAAAAAGACATTTAAAAAATGTTTATCACATAAAAAAACCCAAACAATGTGTAAAAATTATTTATAGTCCAAAATATCAATACCCACTGGAGTTAGGCTACTAAATATTACCTCCGAATTCTCTGGTAAAAATATCATCTACAATACATGTGTAATAGAAGTCACTTGGAAACAAAGCTTACAATGCTAATCAACACAGAATTCCTTTTACAAAGGCAAAAGGTTCTTCATCAAAAAATGATTTTTATTATTGTAAATCTGTTGATTAGAAGTGGGGTTTGCAAACCAATTAAGAAAAATTTATTAATAATAATTGTAGTTAAAATGGATTGATATTATGATGAAAACAATAAGTATTTTTATTTTTTCTTGTAAATTTACATTACAACGATTTTTTCAAACAAAAAAATTTTTTTTTAAAGAAATTGTTCATTTATAATCCTACAACGCAGGGCTATACTTGTAATATCTTAGTTACGTGTGTTTCAATCCACAAATATTTTTTTCTAATTGATGAAAATTAGGCTGGATTTTTTAAAGATGCATTATATTTTGAACACATTGTAGAAGTAATTGAAATAATAAAATTTTACAATGGCATGGATTCTTGATTGAACACTATCGTTCATTCTTTGGCTTGTGCTGTTTTTCGTATGTTTGCTAATGTCTAAGAGCATAATGATAAAGTTTCCAAGCCTAACCCACCACCCCCCCCCAATTTAATAAACATTCAAAACCTGGATGTAATTTGTAAATCTTCAATTTGTAAAAAAAAAAGAAGAGAAAATTGAATTTTTTAAAAATTATTAACTTTTTAATAATTCACAATATTAACTTAAATATCAGAAGAGTTTTTATTTATTTTATGAGTGGATTTAAAAATTAAAATCAGAAAAGAAAAATTAAAACAATTAATTTTTTGCCTTGTTAATTTAAAAATTATTTTGCTTTATTTTCACTTTATTTTTCATTAGATATTGTTGCGTTTTTTGAAAAATATAATACAATTTTTCCCCCAGTTAAGATTTCCCAAGGTTTTGCCTGATTTTCAAAATTATTCCCCAGATCCCAAAGGGGGGACGTGAATTCCCAAGATCTTGGGAAATTTCCCAAGGTGTGGTAGCCCTGGCACAGCCACCAGCAGGCGCTACCAAACATAACACTCCCTGGATATTGCGGCTCTCATGCTTTCTTTTCTTCCGCCCATAAAATATAGTCACTAAATATTAAATCCTTTGATGTATCACTCCGCCCACGTGACACCCATGATGTCAACATGATGTCAGCTTATTGTCATTGGAGCGTATTCAAAGTCGGGCTGTTGCAGTAGGAAAAAAAGGGAAAACTAAAAAAAAAAAAAATAATAAAAAAATGACCACATTAGCTACTCAAATTTTATTTTAAGACTGAAAGATCTCAAAACTTAGATTTGTATTTTGTTAATCTCTCAAAGTGGCAACATTGCGGGGCTGAAACCCTACCTGAAAGGAGAAGCTTGTACAGCGTGCCCAAAGGAGACAGCGTTCTGTGTCAATGGTCTATGTGGTAAGTGGTGGTTTATCAATGGTCAATGTGGTCAGTGGTGGTGTGTCACTGGTGTATGTTGTAAGTGGTGGTGTGTCAATGGCTTATGTGGTAAGTGGATGTTTGTCAATGGACTATGTGGTGGTGTGTCAATGGTCTATGTGGTAAGTGATGGTGTGTCAATGGTCTATGTGGTAAGTGGTGGTGTCTCAATGTACTATGTGGTGAGTTGTGGTGTGTCAATGGTCTATGTGGTGAGTGGTGGCGTGTCAATGGAATATGTGGTGAGTGGTGGTGTGTCAATGGACTATGTGGTGAGGGGTGGTGTGTCAGTGGACTATGTGGTAAGTGGTGGTGTATCAATGCTGTATGTGGTAAGTGGTGGGTGTCAATGGACTATTTGGTGAGTGGTGGTGTGTCAATGGTCTATATGGTGATATGTGGTGTGTCAATGGTCTATGTGGTAAGTGGTGATGTATCAATGGTCAATGTGGTCAGTGGTGGTGTGTCAGTGGACTATGTGGTAAGTGGTGGTGTGTCAATGGTGTCTGTGGTAAGTGGTGGTGTGTCAATGAACTATGTGGTAAGCGGATGTGTGTCAATGGACTATGTGGTGAGTGGTGGTGTGTCAATGGACTATTTGGTGAGTGGTGGTGTCTCAATGGACTATGTGGTAAGTGATGGTGTGTCAATGTACTATGTGATGAGTGGTGGTGTGTCAATGGTCCATGTGGTAAGTGATGGTGTGTCAATTGTCTATGTGGTAAATGGTGGTGTGTCAATGGTCTATGTGGTAAGTGATGGTGTGTCAATGGTGTATGTGGTAAGTCGTGTTGTGTCAATGGTCTATGTGGTGAGTGGTGGTGTGTCAAGGGTCTATATAGTGAGTGGTGGTGTGTCAATGGACTATGTGGTGAGTGGTGGTGTGTCAATGGACTATGTGGTGAGTGGTGGTGTGTCAATGGTCTATGTGTTGAGTGGTGGTGTGTCAATGTTCTATGTGGTGAGTGGTGGTGTGTCAATGTTCTATGTGGTGAGTGGTGGTGTGTCAATGGCCTGAGTATCCACTAATTATATTGATCATATTCCCATCTTGAGTTGTAATGCCGTTGATAATAAGGTGAATATCCACTGAGTATATTTTGGATATATCCACAGATTATGTGGTAAACATCCACATATAATAGAGTGAATATTCACTGATTGTTCGGTGGATATCCTATAATGGTCTATATTCCACCAATTACATGGTCTATATACAACCAAGTACATGGTCTATGTACAACCATGTACATGGTCTATGTACAACCAAGTACATGGTCTATGTACAAACATGTACATGGTCTATATTCCAGAAATTACACGGTCTACATTCCGTTAAGTACATGTTTTATATGCCACCATTATATATTGCATAGTGTGTGAAATGGATGTGAGGAAGGTGAAGTAGCGGACCCACTGACCAATATGTGGCTAGTGGACCCACTGACGAATATGTGGGTAGTGGACCCACTGACCAATATGTGGGTAGTGGACCCACTGACCAATATGTGGGTAGTGGACCCACTGACCAATATGTGGGTAGTGGACCCACTGACCAATATGTGGGTAGTGGACCCACTGACCACTAGTTGGGTCACATTTGGGTGGTAGAATTTCAGTTCATAACTAAACCTCTGTTCTAAGTGGATCTCATGTACCGTGCCATTGAAACGGTTCCATGACAAAACGACTAATTACAAAACAAGTGACAAAACGACAAGTGTCAAAACGACAATTGTCAAAACGACAAGTGTCAAAATGACAAGTGTCAAAACAAGTGTCAAAACGACAAGTATCAAAACGACAAGTTTGAACATAATAAAAAACCAAATCTAACAATTTAGACATTTCTTTTTCATTGCAGCCCTGAGACCTAAGATTGGCTCCGAGTCCGACATCAAAGTGTCCTCAAGGACATTGATCGCTCTGAGCCTTGTCCTGGCTACATGTCTGTTGTGAGCCCGATAGACTTGACCTTTTAACCCCGATAAGATTTAGCTGTAATTCCTAAATCCACCAAGCCATTTCATTACGTCGATAGAATCTGCTGAGGATCTTGACCTTGACCTAAGCAAGTCGCCATCTTTAAAAAGTGCGATTTAAATCTGGCAGCAATGTTTACTGATTGCACTTTTATATTTATACATGTTCTTATGTTCAAGACATTCCTTATGTTTGTTCATTACAAATTACATATATTTTAAAAATATATCTAAATATTATGCACCCTCACATCATTCCCACGGCAAGAATCATTCCCATGTACCATATTATGGACAGCTTAAACTTTCAAGTACTTCTGTAAAGTTGATTAGAAGAAAATCTAAGCCAATAGATGAGTTATTTGAAGGAAACAAATGATCCCCATTTACCCGAGGAGCGGCAACCCATCCATGGGATAGAGTTATGATGGGGCTGTGCATGTCAAGTTCGATATCTCATAATTACTCAAATGTACAATGACATAAACATTGAATGTTATTCACTTGCAACTGTAACCGGCCAACCTGTTGTTGGTGATACAGTGGTGATGGTTAGTCACGTCTCTGGGGACATCAAATAAATGGCATTGAAGTAAATCAAGTCACTTGATGTAACTAAAACTGGCACTTTATAAACTTTATAACAATAAATATTCACATGCTGAACAAAGCTTCACTGATAATGCAAATACCCAAATATAATTAAATAAATAAATAAATATATATATAAATATATGTATTATATATCTATCTATCTATCTTTATATATAATTCGCCTGAAAAGGTCAAACACCACCAAGGCACAGGCTATACATAGATATGAGTTCACTAGCGCGCAAAATATAATTCCCGACAACTGCGCTAAATCATTTATATTTTTTAATATCACAACTTCGTTTGGCGCGTAATATTTTTCGAGTAATGAAATCGTCTCAATTTAAGTATGGTGTACACAATTTTTAAAGTTTAAAAGTGTTTGGGACGTCAGAATATTTTATATAGTTCATGGGCGTCGAAAAATAAGTGTGCAATGACGTATCATAAAGGAAGGGGGGTGTAGCAACAATTTAGAATTCATAAATGTGCGATACTGGAGTTCATGTCTTGTCAAGTAACTCTAGTAGATGGGAAGTTCACGCATTGCCGTCGCCAAGGTTTGGCGGGCTATGACTAGTCTATAAATAAATATATATATATATATATATATATATATATATATATATATATATATATATATATATATATATATATATATTATGTGTGTGTGTGTGTGTGTGTGTGTTTTGTACTTCTGTTTCATTAATCATCTTTACAACTGTCCTCACAGTTATCACTCACTTAACTGTAGCACAGACTCATAACACCATTTTTTTCCAAAATGGCTGTCTACATCTACACCCGTCCGTTATATCTATATCTTGATTCTACATAAAATCAAAATGGCACACACAAAGCTATACTGTTACAGTAACAAAATTTAATCATACAATTGTGGACTTTCATGGCACATCAGTGTGTTGTTGACCTAAATTGCACATCAGTGTGTTGTTGATCTGCATGGCACATCAGTGTGTTATTCACCTGAATTTCACATCAGTATGTTGTTGATCTGCATGGCACATCAGTGTGTTATGACCTAAATTCAACATCAGTGTGTTGTTGACCTTCATGGCCCATCTGTGTGTTGTTGACCTTCATGGCCCATCTGTGTGTTGTTGACCTTCATGACCCATCATTGTGTTGTTGACCTTAATGGCCCATCTGTGTGTTGTTGACCTTCATGGCCCATCTGTGTTGTTGACCTTCATGACCCATCTGTGTGTTGTTGACCTTCATGGCCCATCTGTGTGTTGTTGACTTTAAAGGCCCATCTGTGTGTTGTTGACCTTCATGTCTCATCTGTGTGTTGTTGACCTTCATGGTTCATCTGTGTGTTGTTGACCTTCATGGCTCATTTGTGTGTTGTTGACCTTCATGACCCCTCAGTGTGTTGTTGACCTTCATGGCCCATATGTGTGTTGTTGACCTTCATGGCCCATATGTGTGTTGTTGACCTTCATGGCCCATCTGTGTGTTGTTGACCTTCATGGCCCATCTGTGTGTTGTTGACCTTCATGGTTCATCTGTGTGTTGTTGACCTTCATGGCTCATCTGTGTTTTGAGACACAAGGTTTAAAGTCCACTAGTTTAAGACATGATCACATTGAAATTGTCATGCCTTTTTTCATTGCTATTTTGGACACCAAAGCCAACAATTTAATTTATTAGTCAGGTGGTAATTTTGATTTAATTTTAGAAGCATTATTTATTATTTAAACATATATTTTCTGATTTTGTAATAAGTTTATTTCATGGAATAATAGACTTAGAAAGGACAGCAGCATCAAATACATAATTGTACCCGTTGTGTTCGATGTAGAATTATAAATCAATAAACTGATCTTTCAAGTAGCCACATAAATCAACAAACTGGTCTTTCAAGTAGTATCTTAAATCAACAAACTGGTCTTTCAAGTAGTATCTTAAATCAACAAACTGGTCTTTCAAGTAGTATCATAAATCAACAAACTGGTCTTTCAAATAGTATCTTAAATCAACAAACTGGTCTTTCAAGTAGTATCTTTAATCAACAAACTGGTCTTTCAAATAGTATCTTAAATCAACAAACTGATCTTTCAAGTGGCCTTCATAATGCAATTAAAGAAAATTGCTTCAATTTCGTCTGTAAAGAAAATCCATTCTAATCCTATTGTTCTACTTCCTGTTTGCACATTTGTTATATACATATCATAGTGATATATATTGTCATATAGATATATATATACACACATCTCTATGACAATATATATCACTATGCTATGTATATAACAATATATACATATATATTCTGTCATATAACTTTACCTGAAAAAAAATTCCCGTACATAGAAACTTTAGAAAATTTCCTTCCTATATTTAAATCTAAGATGATGTATTTTGTGAGGTAAGAGGACGTAATTTGATGTAAGAGGACGTATTTGATGTAAGAGGACGTAATTTGATTAAGAGGACGTAATTTGATTACGATGACGTAATTTGATTAAGATGACGTAATTTGATGTAAGATGACGTAGTTTGATTAAAATGAGGTAGTTTGATGTAAGGTGAGGACATTTGATGAATGATGTTTTAATTTGATGCATGATGATGTCATTTGATGCATGATAATTATTTCATTTGATGCATTAGTGTGTCGTTTGATGCATGTCATTTAATGTATAACATTACCATTTTTGTGTGATGGTATCATTTGATGTATAACAATGTCATTTATGTATGATGATTTCATTTGATGTATGATGATGTCATTAGATGTATGATATCATTTGATTTATTTTTGTCTATCTCTAAAAAAACCGTGATATTTTATTTAAAAATACATTAGTTTCTAAAAAAAATCAGATTTTCCCATTTGACTGATTATTTTGATACAGTCAACTTGTTTCTACATAAGTACTCAAATTGTTTTTATTTTTTTATTTTAGCGAGCACTGGAGAATAACACAGGGGAAGTCACTGAGCTACAAGATAAACAAGAATTCTACTGCTAGAACAATATTAAATTGGGTTGATATAAAATTTGTATAAATGGTCTTTGCTTTGTGTCTCACAGTTTTTGAAGCCCTGTGGTAATAAATCTGGGTTTAATGTTTTTAAGAGAAATATAAACATAGTTTTAATGGTTGTCTTCCTGGAAACTTACTTGAATCGCAGCTTTAGAATATAAACATAGTTTTAATGGTTGTCTTCCTGGAAACTTACTTGAATCGCAGCTTTAGAATATAAACATAGTTTTAATGGTTGTCTTCCTGGAAACTTACTTGAATGGCAGCTTTAGAATATAAACATAGTTTTAATGGTTGTCTTCCTGGAAACTTACTTGAATCGCAACTTTAGAATATAAACATAGTTTTAATGGTTGTATTCCTGGAAACTTACTTGAATGGCAGCTTTAGAATATAAACATAGTTTTAATGTTTGTCTTCCTGGAAACTTACTTGAATCGCAGCTTTAGAATATAAACATAGTTTTAATGGTTGTCTTCCTGGAAACTTACTTGAATCGCAGCTTTAGAATATAAACATAGTTTTAATGGTTGTCTTCCTGGAAACTTACTTGAATGGCAGCTTTAGAATATAAACATAGTTTTAATGGTTGTCTTCCTGGAAACTTACTTGAATCGCAACTTTAGAATATAAACATAGTTTTAATGGTTGTATTCCTGGAAACTTACTTGAATGGCAGCTTTAGAATATAAACATAGTTTTAATGTTTGTCTTCCTGGAAACTTACTTGAATCGCAGCTTTAGAATATAAACATAGTTTTAATGGTTGTCTTCCTGGAAACTTACTTGAATCGCAGCTTTAGAATATAAACATAGTTTTAATGGTTGTCTTCCTGGAAACTTACTTGAATCGCAGCTTTAGAATATAAACATAGTTTTAATGGTTGTATTCCTTTGAAACTTACTTGAATGGCAGCTTTAGTTCCCCAAAATTATATCCCTTATATTTATACAGCGTGACACTCCAAGTGTTTCACTCCCTTTAAAGGACACAAGGTACAAGCCCAGGGGCGTAGCTAGGATTGGAGTCACCCGGTGGCGTAAATTCAGGGTTTCACCTACTCACCTTCCTTCCCTTAGCCCCCACAATGGATTTCTTCTTGTTAAAATAAGTCCACAGTATAACCTTGACATAAATACAAAACAAATTAATTTAAGGTCGTGAGGTAAATGTATTTACGAACTGTAACTGTTTTTTTTACATTAAATTTACTTTATTATTTGTTCTCTCCTTGTCTTCAAAGCTGCAAACCTGTAGTATCAATATCCTTCACCATATCAATTGAAAGTAGATCAAATTAAGAAAGCCTGACTGTCCTATCGTGATCGTAAATAGTTCTTGATACGCCTTAGTTTTGCAAAGCTTCGCTCACACGAAGCCACATACATACAGATCGTAAGAATCAACTGAAGAGCTAGCGAGAGTATTGGAAGAGATTCTAGGAAGTCCCATTCAGCTATGAATTTCAAAACATCAAATACTGACTAGTCCATGACTTTGTGAAATTCATATCAGCTGCCTTTAGATGTCTTCTGAGGCTTGATATTTCTTTTAAAAGTTCATCTTCTGATAACTCATCATTGAAAGACGTTAAATTTGGAACGGTCACCAATACCGCTTCTTTACTTGCTGATAGTACACTCTTGAGTTGAACAGATCCAAACATATCTGCTATTTCCTTGATCGCTGATGATCTGATGTGGAGTTCAGAATGAAAGCGATCAATACACTCCAGCATCTCCCTACTGTTTTCTTCTCGCAAAGAGAGTCCAGCAGCTATTAATTTTACTCCCGACATTCTCTTCTTAAACCTTCATCTTCTGTTTACCGTAATTCCATTTTCGTCTGATTTTAAAAGTGTCTTTTCAATAGCTAGTTTCACCAAATGACAGCGCTTCTCATGCAGAAACAACATTAAGGCCTCTAGATGGTTGGCCACCATATAAACTGAAATCACAGACAGCATGTAAAAGACATGGAGCTATATGACAACCGTGGTCTAATGTTTGGGGGCGGTGCTTGTGGTGAATCGGCGAAAACATTAATTTTTTAGTATTTTTTGTGATTCGATATGTTTTTTTTTTTTTTTTCAAAACCTTCATTTCTTATAACTTAGATGAATATAACTTTCTGTCACTTACGGAAGTTACCGAACAATTCTATCGGGGTTGAATCATGATAAAAATTGTGTTTTTCTGAACTAATTATAGTCACCTCATTTCTGGCGCATCAACCTTGAACTTTCAAAACACGCATTTGGATTGGTTACCATGAAGTTACATGTGTGCAAAATGTACGTGTGGTCGGTTGTCCATTTATGAAATTGATTAGACCACGTGGTGTGTGCTCGGTAAATATGCAAATTTTCATTTTGGTGTCTCCCCTGAGATGGTGTCACTTGCTGCGGTCCGCACCTCCACATCCAATTTGCTACGCCACTGTGTATGCTACTTTTATACTAGGAGTGTACTTAAGTTATGGATGCTACTTTCATAATAAGGTTTTGAACAGTCTGAGATGGTTGAACGAAGAGTTTCGGCTCACTAGCAATGTCCAACTATCAATATTTTGACCCCGTATGTCAATGTTGTTTAGTACGCGCGTGATTTGCCCTGTGATTTGTCTTGTGCTTTGTCTCGTGACGTATTAATCGACAACCTTCACTGGGACGTTCTTAAGGTCAAGGCCACAAATGGGGTCGAGTGTCATCAACCAGCTCAAACTAGAATTCGTTGCAAAAAAATGCACTAAGCACTCGCCGGGTGGGATAGATAGATCTCCTAAATGACGCTTAATTTTTAGTTTAATTTTTTGCCAGAGTTGGTTTATAAAGATCACGATTGGTCTTTAAACTAGAATGACATTTTCTCACCATATCCTTACCCCTAATTTGTATTACTATGACGGGATATGAAAGTGATGAAATGATCCTAAAAGAAATTAGGAATATGGATGTATTACTTTGTTAAAAGGAAGACAGACTTGTGGACTTTACAAAGAAGAGGTGGGAAAAACAGAGAGAGAGAGCGAGAGAGAGCGAGAGAGAGAGAGAGAGAGAGAGAAAGAGAGAAAGAACGTAGAACTATAGATACAGAGATAGAGGAAGAACTTATAAATAAAGATAAATAGAGACAATCTAACTTGATGAGTTAAAAATAGAGGCAGATAAACAGAGACAATACAAAAAAGAGGCAGCTATAAAGAGATTGTTTTAATTTGATAAGTTGAGAATAAAGATGGATAATGAAATTAGACTGGCTGAAATACCGGCAGAACGACGGGTCATTATTAGAGAGAGAGAGACAGGATTATTACTATGACGTCAGTGACGATGATGAGAGTCGGGGAAAAAAAATATATGGCATTGCCAGTACTTATTGTGAGAACCCTTTTGAAGAATTTAACCCTATTTCTGATAAAACCTTTATTGATGGCAATTGGGATATGGACCGAGATGGTGGAGCCTTCATTACTGTGAAGTAATGCTACTGAGGGACAAAATGCTAGCATTGCCTCTGCTGACGCGGTAGAAGACTCAAGACAAAATGCTAGCATTGCCTCTGCTGACGCGGTAGAAGACTCAAATTATTTCGATCTAAATGAATGAGAGCGTACATGTTTTAATTTTAATTGGTCCGTCAGTGGACGTCGCAATGGACAGCGTTTCCCCGCATGGACACACCGCTAGGGGCGAAGCAAATAGATTTTGAATTATTTCAAAAGTGGTCAGGTTTGGGTGACCACGGGGGTTGAGGTTGCTAGTTCATCCCAGGGAAATAAGAAAGGGGACGCCGATATAATAAGGTAGAAGTGGTTGGACATGACCTTAGGTGGGGGGGGGGGGCGCATGAAGGGGATTGTCTCAATGCCACAGTCTGTAATGAAATTGTTGCTATGGAAGCGGGTTGCTTTGAAAGCAAAGATAACCCTGATAAAGTGTCTGAGGACATTGGTTTGTGTTGCATCTCATGGTGAGCCATCAGATCATGTAAGTCTTGGAATCAAATGATCTCTGTTTTTTTTCCAGGTAGGGGAGGAGTGTGTAATTCCTGAGTCGGAGAACAGAAACATTGTTGTTGATGCATTTTGTGATGTAGATGAATCATGAGATATTGTGAGCAACAGTTGCTGAATTTTTTTATTTTAATACAAAGATATGTAATGAAAATAAATCACTAGGGCTGTAATCAATATAAATCACTAGGGCTGTAATCAATATAAATCACCAGGGCTGTAATCAATATAAATCACTAGGGCTGTAATCAATATAAAACACAAGGGCTGTGATCAATATAAATCACTAGGGCTGTAATCAATATAAATCACTAGGGCTGTAATCAATATAAAACACTAGGGCTGTAATCAATATAAAACACCAGGGCTGTAATCAATATAAATGACTAGGGCTGTAATCAATATAAAACACAAGGGCTGTAATCAATATAAAACACCAGGGCTGTAATCAATATAAATCACCAGGGCTGTAATCAATATAAAACACAAGGGCTGTAATCAATATAAAACACAAGGGCTGTAATCAATATAAATCTCTAGGGTTGTAATCAATATAAAACACTAGGGCTTTAATCAATATAAATCACTAGGGCTGTAATCAAAATAGATCACTAGGGCTGTAATCAATATAAATCACTAGGGCTGTAATCAATATAAATCACTAGGGCTGTAATCAATATAAATCACTAGGGCTGTAATCAATATAAAACACCAGGGCTGTAATCAATATAAATCACTAGGGCTGTAATCAATATAAATCACTAGGGCTGTAATCAATATAAATCACTAGGGCTGTAATCAATATAAATCACTAGGGCTGTAATCAATATAAATCACTAGGGCTGTAATCAATATAAATCACTAGGGCTGTAATCAATATAAATCACTAGGGCTGTAATCAATATAAATCACTAGGGCTGTAATCAATATAAATCACTAGGGCTGTAATCAATATAAATCACTAGGGCTGTAATCAATATAAATCACCCTTTTAAAGTAGGA